TCTGATGTCCTGAGTTTTAGGGTCTCACTCCAGGTGTGGAGCTGAAAGTCCCAAAGACTCCAGGTCCTCGCCGTCTGACCCATTTTTCTGTGATTAAACGGTTTTGAAAGAAAAAAAAAGTTGAAACTGACTTTTGAATTTTTTGAATATAAATGAATACAGTTTGGGTTCTACTAAAAAGATCGACTTTAGTCTGATTTTCAGGGATCTTCATCCATTAATAAATAATTATAGTAGCCAGAAACAGGAAATGAGTTGCTTATGTTGAGAACTTTAATATTAGAGCTGAAACGATTCCTCGAGTACCTCGAATAATTCGAGTACAAAAAATCCTCGAGTCAAATTCTCTGCCTCGAGGATTCGTTTAATTCATATTTAATTAATTCATGGCTTTGCAATCGCCCGTGGTCATGTTTCACCCGGACCGAAATAAGTGACGCACGTGCCCACTGGACTGCGAGTAGCGAATATAACTTAACTTTCTCTTAAGCCATGGCGGACAACGTTGACCCCGGTGGAGGGCGAAAAAGACAGAAAATGTCAAAGTTGTGGGACCATTTTTCACGTCGTAAGGTCAAAACGTAGTCCAGTATAAATACAGTAAAATGGATTTAGCCTAGCACAACACCACATCCTCCGTGCTGCAGCACCTGTAAATGTCACTTCTGCAAGCGGACTCAGAGCCTCTACAAGATAGTGCATTTTAGCCTGTATTTCTATATATTCTGCAGACACTGTGACTTTTTCGTTTGTAGCGCTCAGTTTCAGCTCACACCGTACGTTTGGTAGCAACACGTCGGACTTAAAATGTGCTAAAAAATAGCAGTTTTTACACAACACGTCGGATTTTTTATTGTGTTATTGATGTCTGTTGTCCCTCGGGGTTTCTGCAGCAGGACACGGGTATTTATGAGTGGCGGAGGAAAACGAAAGAAAGTAAATACATGTTGTGTGATCAGTATAATTTGACAAAACCACAGCAAACATGCTTTTGGCAATCCTTGTTAGTGTGAGAAAAAAAGTGTAGAAATTAAAACGGACGTGTGTTAATAGGGAAACAGGGGCGAGCTGTTTGCGCCATGAGCGGTTCTGGTTCTGTTTGGGCCGCAGCCGCTCGCAGCGTTATCCTCCTAGTTATTGTCTGGCTTGCAGGCTAGCAGATTCTCGCATGAGGGGAAAATCGGCTCAGGTTGTTTACTTATTTTTTGCACAGGCATTTGTTTACTGTGAAGTAAAGTTGAAGTGCTGAAGTTATGCAAACTAATTTTGAATAAAACTTGAAGAATAACTGGCAATTGCTTGCTCATTTTAAGAGGTCTTTCATAATTATAACATGCTATTTGATATCAAATCACTTTTATTGTCATGTCACATGTGCAGGTACACTGGTACAGTACATGCGAGTGAAATTCTTGTGTGCGAGCTTCACAGCAACAGAGTTGTGCAAAAATACAGTAATGTAAAAACAAGTAAAATATAAAAATGGCTAATCTAAGTATACAAATGAATAAAGTAAACAATAAGATAAGAGATATAAAATGTACAGAGGTTGGTATGTGCAAAACAGTGGCATTAATGTACATTATGGAATGTGTAATGTTGGAACTTGGTGGAGCTCGCGACGAGGCAGCCATACTCGGCGCCATCTTGGCTCATCAATATATGATAAAGGTTTACAAACACAAAAGGGTAATTTATTAGAGTACTCGATTAATCGAAAAAAAGATTCGATAGAGTACTCGATTACAAAAATATTCGATAGCTGCAGCCCTATTTAATATTTATGATCATGGACGTAATTTTCACTTAAGAAGTGGGGGGGGGGGGGGATCTTTACAGTATGCTCTAATGGGAAACAGGCTTTTCCGCTTGGTCCTAGAGCTCAACCAGTGTCAATTTAATAAAGTGTAATATTGTTTTTGGATGGTAAAATGTGCAGGAGTCAAAACTTGACTTTGGAAAAAGTGGGGGGGACATGTCCCCCCCCCCACACACATTACGTCCATGTTTATGATTGACAGAATATTTCTCCTGAAACGAGTTTCTTTGACCTGATGTCGGCAGGAACAGAACAGCTGCTAACAGATGTTGACATTTTAAAACAACTCTTCATTTTACTGTGGTGTTGTGGTTTAGTATGGGCCCGGTGTTGTGCTCAGGTACGCGTCCCTGCCAGCAGAAATGTGACTTAGTCTCTGTGTCACTCCTAAACCTGACCCAGAATCCTCTGGTTTGGGACATTTGCTTCCTGATTGTTGCTGATTGGTTCTGTGTTTGCAGGAATTCAGTCATGTTTAACAATGAGATGATGGCAGACGTTCACTTTGTGGTCGGACCACCAGGCGGGACACAGAGAGTCCCGGGTCACAAGGTAACCCTACTCTTCACACATCAACATTTGGTCAGCACGTTTGGTTGAGCTGAAGTGGAAATGTTTGTCTCCTTGACCCAACAGTACGTCCTGGCAGTTGGTAGCTCCGTGTTCCACGCCATGTTCTACGGCGAACTGGCTGAGGACCAAGTGGAAATCCGGATTCCTGACGTAGAGCCGCCATCTTTCCTGGCTATGCTGAAGTAGGTGGAGCTTTGGTTTGGTTTGTGCGGACTCTGAAGGCTCAGTGTGAACAGAGTCTTTTTCTGCAGGTACATCTACTGTGATGAGATCGATCTGTGTGCTGACACAGTGCTCGCCACCCTCTATGCTGCCAAGAAATATATCGTGCCTCATCTGGCCCGGGCCTGTGTCAACTTCCTGGAAACGAGCCTAAGTGCCAAGAACGCCTGTGTGCTGCTGTCTCAGAGCTGTCTGTTTGAGGAGCCAGACCTGACGCAGCGCTGCTGGGAGGTGATTGACGCCCAGGCCGAGCTGGCACTGCGCTCTGAAGGGTTCTGCGACATCGACGTCCAGACGCTGGAGAGCATCCTACAGCGGGAGACGCTAAACGCCAAAGAGATGGTGGTGTTCGAAGCTGCTCTGAACTGGGCCGAGGCTGAGTGTCAGAGACGAGACCTGCCCCCGACCATCGAGAACAAGCGGTTGGTCCTGGGGAAGGCCATCTACCTGATCCGGATCCCCACCATGGTGCTGGAGGACTTTGCCAATGGCGCGGCCCAGTCTGGTGTTCTGACCCTGAATGAGACCAATGACATCTTCCTGTGGTACACGGCCTCCAAGAAACCAGACCTTCTGTTCTGCACAAAACCTCGGAAAGGCCTGTCGCCGCAGCGCTGCCATCGCTTCCAGTCCTGCGCCTACCGCAGCAACCAGTGGCGGTACCGTGGCCGCTGCGACAGCATCCAGTTTGCAGTAGACAAGCGGGTTTTCATCGCCGGCTTTGGGCTTTACGGGTCCAGCTGCGGTTCCGCCGAGTACAGCGCCAAGATTGAGCTGAAGCGTCAGGGGGGTACCGATGGCCCAGAGGATCATCAAGTTTTTTTCTGGCGGATCCAGCAACACCTTTCCAGTCTGGTTTGACTACCCGGTTCAGATCGAACCCGACACCTTCTACACAGCCAGCGTGGTTCTGGACGGCAACGAGCTCAGCTACTTCGGCCAGGAAGGCATGACAGAGGTTCAGTGTGGGAAAGTGACCTTCCAGTTCCAGTGCTCCTCGGACAGCACCAACGGAACCGGCGTGCAAGGAGGCCAGATCCCAGAGCTCATCTTCTATGCCTGATTGGGTTGGGTCCTGCTGTGGTTCTTCAGTCGTGTTAAGAAGTACCTGGGCAGCCAGGAAGCTCCTGGACTCGTCTCAGAACCCGAGGATGGTTTCTGAGGTGGAACACAAGCTAAGTTCTGCTGGTCCAGTTGATGAAGACTTGTGAGGTTTCTGCTCCTCTATGAACTCGACATGTTTCAGTCTTATTGACATCAGAACCAGCCTGTTGGGCTGTTTTCTGCGGTGGATGAATACAGAACCGGGTCTGATCTGCTAACTCTTAAATGAAGGAAACAGCCATGCAGACATCCTGTCATCGATCGATCAGCCTACTCCGTTACTTGGCCAGCAGCACATCAGAAACCCGAATTACAGGTTCTGGTAGTGATCGTTTAAACAATAGCAACAATAATGATAAATACCGCTGGGGTCTGAAACTCGGATGCTCTGAAATGTAATTTTGTTTTTTCTCATAAATACAAACTTTTGTCATGTTGATTTGAACTTTTCTAACAAACGCGGGGCTTTTCTTCTGGAGCAACACCAAACCTGGAGCTTCTGCACCGCCTACAGTTAAACACCCGGAGCTGAGAGGGTTCGGGTCCTTCTGAGGCTGATCTGAGACGCTGCCATGTGCAGCTCTACCTCTACAACGAGACCCCCCCCCACGCCCCCGTCGGGCTCACCATCCAGCCGTGGCACTGTTGCAGCTTTAACTGGATCATTCTGCCGTGTTTTCAGACTTTCACTGTGAGATGTTTGTGAAGTCTAGATTTTTCAGAAACTTGTTTTTAGTTTCATTTTAATTTTAGAGGCCTTAATGATTAAATGTTCACCTGTTAGGAACCTGAGGAACTGTCCTGCTGCTGACTGAAGGACTTTAAGCAGCAAGTCGGTGGTTTGAAACCTGTGCAGGTGTTCAAACGCTGAATGATCCATTTCCTGGCTGTCTGTGTCCATATGGTCGTCTGTCCGTCCTGAAGGATTTGAACTCTTCTGTTGTTGTTATTCTGTGTCTTGAATTATTGCTGTTTGGTTCTGACCCGTCATGCCTGGTTCTGTTTATGTAATCATTGAAAGTCATTTTCTGGTCTATTCCAGCCTGAATGTGTCGGTGGCCTTATCAGATTTGGTAATAAACTCTATAATGCTCCATCTCTGAGACTTGTCTGGTTTCTCTCCTGCTGATTTTGACTAATTTTTACCTGATTTTAGGTCATAAACACTTGATTCCAGAGAGCCAACAGCTAGAAACGTTTTTATTTGGGTTTTAAGGACCTGATGAAACAGGAAATAAATAAGTTTCCCAGCAGGATCGGATCTGATCCTGATCCTCCAATCCAGTTGGTGGCGCTAATGCACCAAAACAACCTTTACACCCAGAAGTTAAAAGGTTCAAAGTCCCCAAATCCGGATCTGTGCGGTTGTTTCTCCTCCGTCATGAACCGACTGAGGATCATTTCTGGACACCTGTGTCCCGCCGGCTCCTCCGAGCTTCGGCGGGACCTCCGGAGCTCAGCCTGCGGCTCCACGGCGGGATGCTCCGGGGAGGACGTGGTGGTGGTCCACGGGCGGAGGACCGCCATCGGACGGGCTAAGAGGGGAGGGTTTAAGGTACTGGGTCCGGAACCAACACCTTAGCAGTTATTTTTAGTTTGCCTGAGAAATAGAAACAAACAAAAGATGACTGAAACATCTGTAGAAACGTTCAGCTGTTGATTTGATCAGAAATATAAAGGATCCTGATTTTTATTTCAGATGTGACACAAACTTTATTAGCCTCATAATTTACAAAATATTCAGATGATATTACTTAATATTCCGTCTGATTGAAAACAAACATGTTGGGTCTGATGCTACATTCATGTAACAAGGAAATGACCAAACCAACGCTCACCATCTGGTGGTTGTAGGCTAATTTTACCACGCCCATTGAACTACCCACAGGGGCGTCGGACTGGGGGGGGAAAGGGTACCGTTTACCCAGGGCCCACTGCAGGGAGGGGCCCTGAGACAGCTTTGAATAAAAATGTTTTATTGTTGTTGTTTTTTCCCCCCAACTTACTTAATGTCTTAATAAACTTCCCTTTACCTGGATAAAGAGGTTAAGAAACAGAATTTCGCCTTAAAAATAATAACTGAATAATCTCTGAGGCATCTATCACCCCTTAAAAATGTGCAAAGTGGTTTAGTCCACACCCGCAGCCAGGGGCTGCACAGCCGCATGTACAGCTGTGACACATCGCAGATGCCGACAGCCAGAGCTGGAGGCAGGAGAGTCAGTCATGTCTTTTCCCAAGAAAGGGAAATCTGGCTTCCAGAAAAGAAAAGAAAAGAAGGAGAAGGAGGAAAAGTTAATTGAACAGAAGCAAGTAGAAGGAAGGTGAGCAGCAGCAGCAGAACACGGTTTTAGCTGATATTAGCTAGCTCTCAGAAGCTGCATTCATGTTAGGTGTTCAGTGTTAAACGCCTTTAGTTTCACCATCAAGATCAAATATAAATTAATTAGTGTTGTCAGTGAAAACACTAATTAATATATATATATTAACCAGAATTATTATCGCGGGCGGCCGCCGCCAATTAATTCGCGGACCTCGCAGTAAAAACGGGTTCACTCTGTGGATATTTCAGCTCCTTCCCAGTCATGGACCAGGACAAACTTGGTATCGATGGATTCGTGGTAATCTCAGGAATGTGAAGCTGCCACTGTTTTTCATATAGCATGATGACACTGGTGTTAGAGGATTGTTATTGACTTGGTTAGATATTTTAAGCCTATTTTAAATTTCTTTATATTTGATCTTGAAAACGGACAATCTTATAATTTGGCTGATAATGCAGGGATTATAAAATTTAGAGTACATTACATTCACAGAGAGAACCTGGTTTATTTCATGTCATATGTATTTAATATATCAAGATATATCAGTATTAGCAAAGCTTAACATCACGAACCATGACAAACATGACTGAAGAGCAGATGAAGATATCATGCCAGGCACTGATGAGAAAATATTACAAGGATCTCACAGCTGAATTTGGGAATGAGATGCTACACCTGAGAACAATATATGGTGCCACATTCCCACACATTCGGTCTCCTCTTGAGCTGCTTAATGCCATACAGGATGCAATTACAGAGCATTTTTGGAGAAGTTTGTATTGGACTGAGGATATTTTGCACACTACCTGTGACTGTTGCTGGGGGTGAACGGGCTTTTAGCAAACTGAAAATGGTGACAAATTATTTGAGATCAACAATGTCCAAGGATAGACTGAACAGCCTAGCTCTTCTTTCTATTGAAAGCCAATTAGCCAAAGGACTGGACTTTAAAGATCTCATAAGTGATTTTGCTAACATGAAGACCCGTCAGTGGGCATTTACTGGAAAATAAATTCCAGGATTTTTGTTTGAACACATTGTTGGCAAATAAAAATAATTATATGTGAAGTCTGGGCTAGGGCTGCAACAACGAATCGATAAATTCGATGAAAATCGATTACTAAAAGCGTTGGCAACGAATTGCGTCATCGATTCGTTGTGTCGCACAACTCTTCCAAAAGCTAGAAGCTAAGAATCCAGGCAACAGATTTTCTGGAGAATTATGAGGAGATGCAGGAAGATGAGAGACAGACAGGACAGGAAAATAGTTCAATAAAAACAAGAAAACAAAACAAAGTGTTGAAAAGTCAAATGTAGGTAGATTTATCTCCACTACACGTTTTTACCAGTAAAAAACAATAAGTTATACACATGTCATATTTATACATCTGATACAATTCAGATCACCTTCAAAACTCAGTCACACACCCAGGGCCGTTTCAAGACATTTTGGGGGCCAAGGCAAAATGCCCCCCCCCCCCCCCCCCCCCCCCCATAACTGGGCTCCCCAGAAGCCTCTGTGTAATTCATGCCCTTTCCAGGAGTGTTAGTTATACAGTGTTTATAAAAGCCCCTCAGATATTACTGACATGTTCTAATATTATCAGATGAAAAACTAAATTATCAGACATGCTGTCTCATCTGCTGCTTTTCTAAACTTGCAAAAAGTAACAAAACCATTTGAAAGCCACTATTTGTGGATTCTCTGAAAGTTTCCATGGAGTGTGTGACAACTTATTTAATCATTGATCCTATTGTCTAATCTCACAGTTGAAACAAGCATCCTTAATAATCTGTGCACAGGAAGCTTACCGATGCTGTAGTAAAACAAAAGGTATAATAATTTATTATTAATAAAACCTTGTTGCAGCACTAAAGCAGAAAAATTAGATTTTGCAGTAAATATACTAAATATTTACATATGAATTGTTTTAGAGCCCTTTTATTGGCAGAATCTGATATTAATTTAGTTCTTACAAAAAATGGGTCCCAACATGGTTTGTGTGGCGTTGCCATAGTGTGACGTCATAGGCACAGATCCCCTGTCCTCTTGTTTGGAAATGGAAATATGGTCACCCTATATTAAACAAACTGTCCACCCGGGCTTTTGCGCTGCACAGAGACGCTTCGCTGCCTACGACTGAATGTCAGTTGAGAGTCAGTCTCATGCAGACTGACCAATGAAGAGAGGGCCTCAAGTTAAGACCCTCTCCTCATTGGTCAGTCCACACGAGGTGGGTCAAAGGTTACTCTGAGCGGGTTACGTGTTGTCAAGCATTCAAGTATTGAGTATATTTACTGCATATTACAGTAAAATATTCTGTATGTGACCACATTATGGTGATCCTTGGGTCGTGATGATGGAGCCCTTGAATATTGTTGCCCAGGGTACAACAAAGTGTTAATCTGGCCCTGGTTCCGCCGTCACATTCCCGCAGAAACTGGTTGATCACACCGGGGCCAGACTACTAGCATGTGGTTTTACAACCACAATGTCCTCAGAAGCAAAAACGCTTTTAAAAGGGAGGGAGGAGTCCTAACTGTTGCTGCAGGCGTGTTGTGTGAGAGTGCAGTTATATACTGGTTAATATATTTTTGGGTTCAGTTGCTTTCATGTGGCCTAATGTGAGTCTATTTGGGATCATTGGAATGATCAGCAGCATTTCTTGATGTGACTTTATGGCAGTTGCCCAGGGCATCATCGCAAGGAGGATGGCATTCATTTACTTTTGTTTTATTTGGTATTTTTTCAGTCAGTTTTGGAAATAGTGATCAATTTTGAGCCTATGTTTAATTACATTTAAAATAAATATTAACAGATGAGATCAAACAAAACAGATGAGAATTGCCCTTAAGCTGTTTAACTTGGACCAAGCATTTTAGGTCACAGATAGATGTAGCTTAGGGTCTCTGTCTATACACCTTATAAGACAATTTAGGTGATGGCATGTTGTTTTTCTGCTATTGAACTGTTTTCTAATAATGTTGTGTTAAATAAAGTGAAGGAAGGAGAGAAATAACGTTTCCCTAGCAGTTTTTAAAAATTTCCCCATGTAATCCGATTAATCGATTAATCGTGTCGAGACCCCATCCGATTAATCGATTATCCAAATAATCGTTTGTTGCAGCCCTAGTCTGGGCATTTCACTTTTATTATTTTGGCATTTGTATTTGCTCAATATAGAGGTTAAACTAGGATCATATTTATTATCTTGTCTTATAGCATGACAAAAAATGTGTAAGAGAGATATTGAGTAATTGAGCATGGGGGCCCACCTGGAAGACTTGTACCTAGGGCCCAGAATTTGGTGCTACGCCCCTGACTACCCACCCCCTGTTGAGGCCCCGCCCACAACCACACAAACGTTTGGCCTCAGAATCTTAGCAAATCTCAAACCTCTTTTGGGACAAAAGTTCCCAGGTTCAGTTTTTCAAGCAGAATCTTCACAATCTCGGTCGGTTCTGTGTGAGGTAGACCCACCTGTCCTCCCACAGGACACCACACCTGATGAGCTGCTGAGCGCCGTGATGACAGCTGTGCTGACAGATGTTGGACTGCCTCCTGACAAACTGGGCGACGTCTGCGTGGGTGAGGTGGGGTGGGGGGTTGTTGAGACAGGATCAGCGGTAGAGATTTGGACCAGATCTGAGTTTAATCATCGCGTGTTCTTTCCACCTGCAGGAAACGTGTTGCAGCCTGGAGCTGGCGCTCTGATGGCCAGGGTGGCTCACTTCCTCAGGTCAGCTGATGGTTCATTATCTCATTAAAACGCTGAGCTCTGATTGGCTCTGATCACCGTGGAGGAAGGCTGGGACCCTCTGTGGAGAGGAAGCAGGATGTTTTTGTGATCCTAACTTCCCATTTCAGCGGTTTTCCAGAGACCGTTCCGGTCTACACGGTGAACAGGCAGTGCTCCTCAGGCCTCCAGGCGCTTCTTAATATCGCAGGTAACCCTCAGCTGGTGTTCAGGTCAGAGGTCATAGAGAGGTTAAACGATGTTCACTTCACACACACACACACACACACACACTGACTGGTTTTCTGTTTCTTTAGGAGCCATCCGGAGCAGAACCATCGATCTCGGACTCGCCTGCGGGTCAGTTTCTCATGTCAGAATCAAAACACCAAAATAAAACCATGTTGGTACCGTGACCCCCAGGTTCAGGGTCACAGAAGGTTCTAGTTCTCCTAAATGGTAAAAAGATGATTAATGAACCAAACCGGATGGAGGCAGAGACGCCCTGAACACAAGGCCACCGTGGTCCAGAACCCCTCCTGATCCTCATCTCCCTGTTTTGCTCGCCGGTACCTTTTCAGAGGTTCTGACCCGGAGTTCTGCAGACCTTCTGAAGGAGTTTCAGATTTGGGTTTTGGACCTTTTGGCTGGCTTTTGATCCTGTTTCAATTCTAAACATTTTCAGAGGATTGTTTTTATCTTTAACCTTTGACCTCAGACAAAAAAAGGCTCCTAACTCAACACTGAACAGAACCGGTTTAAACTGGACCTTTAGTCCCTTTGATACCAGCGGCCTTTGTTCTTTAGTTGGATCAATAAAACCACCAATCAGAACCCGGTCTGAGAGGAACCAGGAACCTAATCAGCTGATTCATCCGCTGTTGTGTGTTCCAGAGTGGAGAGCATGACTCTGAGATCGATGAATAATCCTGGAGATCTGAGCTCCAGGCTTTCGGACCACCAGAAGGCTCGAGACTGCATCATTCCCATGGGGTGACACACACACACACACACACACACACACACACACACACACACACACACACACACACACGCACGCGCACGCACACACACACACACACACACACACACAGCATGAAGATGACATCATCAGCTTTAGGTTTTTGTCCCCGTTAGCTGTGGTGTTTGTTTACATCTGATAGTACTGAATCAGCTGATTGTTGACCGTTTAAGTCTGAAACAAGTTGGTGTGTGTGTGTGTGCGTGCGTGCATGTGTGTGTGCGCGTGTGTGTGCAGCTTGACGTCGGAGAATGTTGCGGAGCGCTTTGGGATCTCCAGGGAGCAGCAGGACTCGTTCTCTCTCAGCTCTCATCAGAAGTAACTAAAACCAGCTTCCCATCTTTGACCTTTGACCTCGGAGTGTTTAATACACGTTACTAAATGTTGAACAGAAATGCGGGTCAGAACCGCTCCCTGTTTGGTTCCCACTCTTTGGTTCTGGTGAGTCCAGCTCCTGCTCCCTGCAGAACCTCTAACCTTTTTGTGCACACAGAGCGGCTCGAGCTCAGAACTCGGGTCGGTTCGACTCGGAGATCGTTCCCGTGTCCGTCACCTTAGTGGACGATGAGGGCAGAGAGCGCCAGGTGACGGTGAGTAAAGATGAAGGCATCAGAACCGGAACCACGCTGGCTGGACTATCCAAACTCAGACCGGCCTTCAAACCCGATGGCAGCACCACAGCAGGTCAGAACCTGACCCGAACACCGAAACCAAGCCCTTTAGCTGTCACACGCTCACACCTGTGTTACAGGTAACTCCAGTCAGGTGAGTGATGGAGCAGCAGCTGTGCTGCTGGGCCGCAGGTCTGCCGTAGAGGCTCTGGGTCTGCCGGTTCTGGGGGTTCTGAGAGCAAGTGCCGTGGTGGGGGTCCCTCCGGACATGATGGGAATTGGACCAGCGGTCGCCATTCCTGCAGCGCTGCAGCAGGCAGGTGAGACTTCTGAACAGTTGTAAGGTAATCTGATTACCTTTACTTTGTTTTTGATTACTTTAAGTCAGAAAATTATGCAAACTGGTTCCAACTAAGACTAAAGCAGACCTCAGTCTGATGGGTTACAGCTTTTAGGCCCGGTTTACATCCTCAACACCAAAAGGTTTAAAACACCAGAAACAGGAACTCCGTCTCCATGGTTACCCTCCTGATCAGGATGTAACGTTCTTCTCCTCAGGACTCCGCCTGGAGGACATCGATGTGTTTGAGATCAATGAGGCCTTCGCCAGTCAGGTGAGACCCAGACCCGGAACCGGCCAGGCCCGACCCAGAATTACCTTCAGTTTTCTCTGAAAGTTTCTCAGGTGCCACTGAACCTCTAAACCCCGTCTCCGTGGTAACGGAGGATTTAAACCTCGCTGTCTCCATCTCCATGGTAACGGAGGATTTACACTCGCTCCAGATCTTCTACAAATGTAGACGTGGCCTTTTACGGTGCTGCCGAGGAACTCGGCTCTAGAACAATCCGATCTGTTGGGTTCTGGACAGAGACATCTTCTAAGTTTGTCTCAGAATGACCCGATTCTGGTCCTGATTCTGGATCAACTGGTTCTGTTTCTTCACCCATTTCAGATCAGTGTGACTGTGTCCAGAACCGCCCAAGTTTAACCCAGATAGGATCAAGCTGAGCCAAGAGTATAGATGACCTTTGACCTGCCGCCTCCTGTTGGCAGGCCGTGTTTTGTGTGGAGAAACTGGGAATCCCGCTGGAGAAAGTGAATCCCAACGGGGGCGCCATCGCTCTGGGTCATCCTCTGGGATGCACCGGAGCCCGACAGGTGGTCACGCTGCTGAATGAGCTCCGGCGCAGAGGCAAGAGGTTAGTCCGGTTTCCCCCAGAGGGCCCGGTTCTGGATCCTGTTCTCACTCTGGTTGTTGTGTGCAGGGCATACGGAGTCGTGTCCATGTGCATCGGCACAGGGATGGGAGCCGCTGCCGTGTTCGAGTATCCCGGACCGTAGCGGCAAACACCAGACCAAGACCCGATCGCTGCTATCTGACAACACGCAGCACCTGGAGCGGGAAACAGCCGGAGGGCTTCTGATTCAGATAACGATTAAAGATGCCGATTCTGTCTTTTACGGCCTGGTGAAAGACTTCAGCTCCGCCTGCTGGCTTTTTCCCCTCCATGCGTTCCCAACATGGACTTCACATCAGAATCGGCTGAAATAAACTGGAAAGATTCTCCAAACATTCTGAGCCATGAACTAAACCGTTCTGGTTCCTGCAGAACCTGCAGCAGAACCTCTGAGCACCTCCTGGATCGGATCCTTTCAGATGCGGAAACCTGATTAAACTAACACCCGTTTCTAAGCAGACTGAACATTTAGCAAAATAAAAGCGCTTTACTGCTGGGAGGCTTTTATTGTGACGTAGCTTCAGGAAGCTGAGTAGGCAGTGAGTCTGTTTAACTGGGTTAACTGGTTAACTGGGTTAACTGGTTTAACAGCTGAACTAAACAGAAAAATGTTAACTTCAGAGTTTAAAGTGCCTTTAAAACTGCAGTGCTTTCAAAATAAAAGTCAAATCAAACCTTTAATCTGAAAGAATTCAGATAATAAAACATGTCAACATCAAGTCTGTTTGTGACTTCATCAGGTTTTTCTATACAAGAGTTCACAAATTCATGTCAACAGGAAGTAGTCGTCATGGCTACCTGACCAGGTAAACGTTCCTGAATCTGGAGGATCTACTGGAGCTTCGGTTTCTTCCGAGCCTGAAACTGCTCCGTTTTGGTTTTGATGGACTTAACGAGCAGCGACAGACTTGGGTCCATCACCGTCTTTCTCGCCGAGTCATCGCCCTGCTTTGTTTCTGCAGCCTCCTGTTGGTTGATCTGTGTGGGCGTGGCCTCCTCCTGGCGACGGCGCTGTTTCTCCTCCAGGATGCTCTGCGTGGCTTTGGTCTTCCTGAAGCTGGGGTGGGAGGGGTCCAGGTTGAACAGGTGGGAGGTGAACACAGCCTGGAAACGAGGGTCTTTGACGTCCACCTGGGGAAAACCAGCTTCGTTAGCACCTTCATCTACCGCTCCTAGTTTCTCCAGCAGGAGGCGAGATGTTGTGATTCAACCTCAGCAGGAGGAGTCTCTGAGACCAAACCCATAATTATCAGCAGAGGCTGAAGGTTTCACCTGGAAGTCGTCCTCCAGCAGCTCCTCGCCCTTCTTTAGCAGCTTCTTCCTCTTCTTCTTGCTCAGGTTCTGCTGCTCCACGATCTTCTCGTAGTTGAAGTGTTTGTGTTTGGTCTCGTCGACGTCGTCCTCCATCAGCAGAGCCATCTCAGCCTGGAAGACAAACCGGTTCAGCTGCTGCACACGGAGCTGCAGATGTGACCCGGGAGATGTTGCTGACCTTTCGTTTCTCCAGCTCCTCGTCCTCCTCAGCTTCCTCCCGTTTCTTCTTCTTGTCCTTCCGTTTCTTCTTCACGTCTGTAACACAGCAGCACTTAGAACGTTCCTCAGAGCTTCACGCCGGCCTGTTTGGACCGACGTGATTAGTTCAGAAGGCTCTGCTACGGGCCGACAACCGGTTGTCATGGAAACGCACTGGAAACATCAGACCGGAGGTGGAGACAGTCACGAGAAAACGTCCTGTTACTATGGTAACCAGCTCAAACTCACCTGTCCGGTCACCCGAAGCGCTGAGCTCTTCAGTGAAGAAGGGGTCACGGAGGTCGACGTCAGGAGGAAGCTCGTCATCGCTGAACTCGTCGTCAGCTGCTTCCTGTCAGGAGAATCATCACAAAGGCTAAAGACGCTGAACAGGTGAGGTCATTTACGACGGCTGACTGGACTACGGTGTCCCCTTTAGGACATCTTCAGATGTCCCACTTTAGACGAAGAATAACCTGATTTGGTTTCATTTGCTTTTATGAAAAAACTCTTGAGGCTTCCTTCAGTCTGGAGTCAGTTCCTCTGGATCTGCCCCCCCCCCCCCCCTCACGCACCTGTTTCCTTTCACTACTTTTCTGTTTCTTCTTCTCCTTCTTCTTCTGTAGAAACCCCTCCCAGGGCGTCAGCTTGTCCGTTGCCTCCAGCTTCTTCTTCACCAGCTTCTCTGTTGTTTCCTTCAGGCCTGCAGGAGGAAACAAACGGATCTAAGCTGTGCTGCTCCTCAGCTGATGGGAGTTTAAACGGTCTCCTCTAACCTGGCACCCAGGTGATCTCCATCTCCATGCCTTTGTCCTCCTCCAGCTTCTTCTCGTTGCTCTGGACACTCTTCAGCAGCTCTCTGTACTTCCTGATCTGCTCCTCACTTTTCTTCTTCTTCTTTTCCTTTACAGGTTTCACTTCCACTTCTTTAACGATCTCTTCTGTCCAAAACAAAGAACTCAGTGCTGCTCCTCCTCCTGAGAAGATCTGAAATGTGTCTCTTTCCTCACCTTCAGCTCCCGCCTCCTCGTCTTCACCTTCTTCACTAGAGGAGGCCAGGTAGGCCTTGAAGTCCATGTCCAGCAGCTCGTTTTTGTCGAACTTCCTGCTGAGGGCGGTGACGCGCTCGTGGTCGGTCTCATCCCACGTCAGCTTCACCTGATTGGTTCAACAGACATGTGAGTCTACGTCCTATTGAGGTGGACCTGCTGGAGGATGTCCTCTTAAAAACCTCACAGGAGACAGCTCCTCGGGTCCGTGGGTTGGACATCGATCTACAGCAGAGAGCCACAAGCCATTGTTTCATATAACACTCACTTCTACGGCAGACCAGGTAAACACACCTGACCTGTAGAAACGTCCTGGAGACATTCTAGCGCCGACATGTTGATCAGTCCGTTTCACCACGGAGTCTGGAGACCTCATGGTGATGTTATTTATGCTCTTAACAAATGAAGGACCTTTTATTTAAGCAGGAAGTCCCACAGAGGGACACCTGTCCTCCACATGGGACACGCCAACAGGTCCCGTTTTAGTTCCTACAACTTAGACTCGGTACCTTTGACGTGGAAGTAGCAGATGAGGAGAAGAGTTTGGGCGTGTAGGCGGCCACGCTGGTGTCCGTCGCCACGTCTTTAGGATCATCGTCAAACGTCACATCATCAGGAATGAAGCTGTTTAGAGGGACGGCCAAACGTTAAGAGACAAAGTCCTGATCCAGGTTTCTACTAAACCGGGTCCAGAGCGCCACCTGATGTGGGTCTGCCCACCTGAGACTCCAGGCAGGACTAGAGAGCAGCCTGAGGCGTCTTTACAAACCCGACAGACGTTTAGAATAAAAGTCATTTTCTGATGAAATGGGCAGCGTGAGTCTGGGTCGGCTCCTCACCGAAGGTCCAAGACGGAGCAGCTGCTCTCGTACTCGAAGCCGTCACACTCGTCGTAGATCCTAACGGCCGTGTCCACCGAGTCGCACTCCAACACGGCGTAGAAATACTTCAGACGTTTGAACTGGTAATCGCGCAACTTCTCCCTGTAAACCCTGAGGGGAGACCAAACACACACACCTTTCAAAGCTGACGTCCACCGAAGCTTCAGAGGAAACCGGTCCAACTCCTCATTTTCTATCAAACTGATCTTTCATCACCTTAAATCCTTGTTTTATCCAAAAACAACGATCCAACTTTAAAGTTGTCCTTTAAGGTTTGGAGTGGGGAGTTTAGTGACATCTAGTGGTTCAAACGGCAAACTACAACTTTAATTACAGAAAGCATAAGGATTATTTAACCTGAAGTCATACAATGCCCTATGGCTTGTCAAAATAAAAGCATGGGAGGGTCACATCAGCAGGCTTCCATCTTTATTAAACCTTCAAATGTCTCAGAAGAACTTTTTAATGGAAATACTTTTCAGTAGCGACGCACCGATATGAAACTTTTGGGCCAATACCGATATCCAATATTAAGATCACAGTTGTGGCCGATGACCGATATTTGCAGATACCGATATACTTGTAAAATCAGCAGATTTTGTATAGAATGAAAATTATTAAAGCTGAATTTACGTTATTATGTACACACAACACACACATTTACGGTCCTGAAATTATTTCATTCATTGTTCACACGACTAAACAATTACACATAATGGCAGCTTCAATAGTAGGCTCGTGCACGAGGCGCGAATGCTGTACGTGCACACTCCTTAACGAAAATAACAGCTGAGACAGTCCCGTGTGTGTGTGTGTTTGTGTGTGTGTGTGTGTGTGTGTGTGCGTGTGTGTGTGGCCCAGATGACAGAGGACAGGAGAACAAGCAGCTAATTAAATAATGTGGTTCTGTACCTTTCTCTTCAGCACAGCTGACAAAGGTTTATGATGGGTCAGTCCTCCTGCATGCTCAGATCATTCCCTTCCCTTGCTTGAAAAATTGTTCCAAAATGAAAGTTGAACCCACATCTTTTATCTGTGAATTCAATGCCGTTCGGTGAGTCTCAAATAAAAATTTGGGCGTCTTACTGTAAAAAATATACCATTAATGTAAAAAAGAAACTCTAAATAAACTATGTTCACATCCAGACTCTAACCCAGGACTTCTGCATGAGAGTCAGACATCTTACTAGGTGAGCTAAAGCACCAGTGACATCATGTGTATCTGTAACATTTATATCCTTGATGACAGCTGAAACAACGTCAAACCAAAGAACGGTTCGGAGTGAAAATGGCTGTTTTGTTGCTAATTAGCAGGAAATATCTAGAAGAAAGTTCTACAGAAAGTAGCTAAGGGTCCTCAGAAATGTAGCTAGCTTTGTCACTAGGCGTTAGGAACAGCGACAAAGTGGCACTGCCTCTCTCTCTGCTGCTAAAGCTACGGATAGCAAATGCTACGGGCGATGCCTGAGCGTGAACGCGCATGAAGCAGCCTGCTCGACCCGAGCATCTCTCTTTTTCTGTGATTTTACAGAAAAACAGGCAATCCCAGTAAAAATGCCAGGGCTCATTCTACAGGACCAGGGCATTGCAGGAGAATGTATGAAGAAGACGTTTATTATTTCTATACATGTTTTGGCTGTCAAACTTCCATAATGCACCTTTAAGGAGACTGTAGTTACAGATTTAGGTCAGCAGGTAGTTCAGCTGCTTTTTGGGGCTTTACCACTAAAGACAAACATGAACATGTTTAAGATCAACAACCACAGAAATGAAGACAACAACTAGTCATTAATCTTCTACTTAGATGAAGGGAACACAAACGGATGAACTTCTATGGAAACCTGGATTTCCAAACAGGACGTCAGTGGGAATGAAAGTGCATTTCAGCAGTGTCGAGTCTTGGGAACAGGACTTTTTTTTTTTTACATTTTTTGTCGATTGGGATCACTAGGAACCAGAATTTAAATAGAAACCTGATCAACTGGACCCATTCCAAGAACTAGAACCAAAACAATTGGGATTTGGTTTGTCCTTTCTGGGCTTCTGTAGTTTTATGGTAATGAACACGGAGAGGAAGTCAGACATATTTTTTCATGTAAAAAATATGTAAATATTATTATTATTATTAATCAATAATAATACTGGTATCTTATTTAATTAATAATTAATTATGCTATTTTTAATTAATCATTAATTAATATTAAAAGGAGATTTGGTTTCTTCCTAATGTTGACCTCTGAGCATCGTCATGGTGAGGTTACCTCTCCTCTTCGGTGTCATCCTCCGACTCATCAGGCAGCACCTTGAGCTCTGGGGGGCCCTGCGTCTCCTCTACCTTTAACCTTTCCTTCCCAAACTCCGACGGAAAGATCTGGACAAAAAGACCCACAATGCATTGTGGTTATCCTCTCCCAGCAGCACCCAGAACATCCTGAAATAAGCTGACCATAAACACTTCCCTCATTTTCACATTTTGAAAAAACTTTTAATCACAGAAAATTTCATTCTGCAGATGAAACCGTGACAACAAGCCTGGATTGTGTGAGGACATCTCAGATTTTAAAATCTAACCTGATTATTTATTTAATTTGATGTTTCGTGAGAACCTTTAACCCTGGGTTTTGTCTCCCAGGTCTTTCATGCGTGATCAGCAGAGATAAACGATGTTAGCACAGACGCCTCCTGATTTACAGGCTCATAATCTGGAGGTGGAGTTTAAATCTGGACTAGCTGTGACCTCACAGCAGCTTACCCTGACGGACAGCACGGCGCCGCCTTTCGGAACGAAGGAGCTGAACAGAACCAGCAGGTCTTTGGCTTTTATGCGGTCCCAGTCCATGTTGCAGACAGCGAGTCGGGCAGAAACCTGAAACAAAAACACGTTTGAATCTGTAAAACACACACACACACACACACACACACACACACACACACACACACACACACACACACACACACGTACGTCTCCTCACCTCCTCGTTGCGTTGTGCGTCTTTACACAGCTCCCCCCAGTCGTGTTCTATATCTTCTTCCTCTTTCTTCAAGATGGCATCCACATAGTCGTCATCATCTTCGTCTGAGCTGGTCTCCACGTTGCCCCTCCCCCGGGCCAGATCCGGTTCACTGTCGCTGTCTTCTCCAGAATCCAGACTGGACTCCTCTGATCCATCAGCCTCCATGCTCTCCTTGTCTGTATCATCGTCTTCCTCGCTGCCTTCTGAACCATCGTCCTCCAGATCAGCATCTTCCTCTGCAGATGGCTGCTCGTCATCGTCGCCATCACCTGAGTAAAACACTGGAGGCTTAAAGCAGGAATCAGCCAGGAGAAATGGGACTGTTTGTTTTTGGGAAAACTTCAGCTCCCTGATGTTAGTTTGAAGCTGATGCTAGCTGTCTGACCTTTGACCTGTGTGGCCCTGTGAACTGAGGTCACCAGCCGCCGAGGGTTCCCCAGAAGTCCAAAAGATTAAAACAAACAACTAAAAGACTTCAGCCAATCTTATAAACACGAAAACATTCTGGGAGGAGAAATTTTCAGTCTAGTTTTTAACATTTACATTTTTCCATCATCTCACCTTCTTCCGTGACTCGAACTCCTTTAACTCCAACTTCCTGTCCTGCTTTTCCTTTTTTCTCTTTGCTCTCAGGCTTGACTTTCTTCTTCTTCTCCTCTGAAGCCTTCAACTCTTCCTCCTCCTCCTCTTCGGAGTCAGACAGTTTGTAGAAGCGCTTCAGGTCCTCTGTGGAGGAGTGGCTGATAGGACGGCCCCGTTTATCCACCGTGTATTTTACCTTGAAGCGCTTGTCGTGAAACATGGACTGGAAACGCTTGTCAATCTTGATTTTTTGCTCCTTCTCGGGCATCTCCCAGAACCTTGGATCCTTCTGGACCAGGGCAAAACGCTCATCATTGTCCTGCTTCTTTTTGGACGACATGTTGGGGAAATCTGCTGCAGAGAAACGTCAGGATCAGAATCTGTGTCCTCGACTAACTTATGGGCCATTCCCATCTGTACCGGGTCGGCCCGGGCCGGGTAGCCCCAGTCGGCCCCAGCCTGGCCCGGTTGATTCCACACATCCTTGTCTTAAGCCCATGTGGGCTGATTCTACCCACCAATCAGAGGCTTGCTCTAATGGAAGGTGTGAATTTGCTGTCAGCAGTGGGTGTGTTGGCCCTGGTCGGCCTGAAGCAGACCCCCTCGAGAAGAGGGCTGAGAATGAGCCTTGGTTGGCCCGGAAAAATACCAGGCCACCCAGATATGTAAACAACCTACGCTACCCGGCCCGGGCCGACCCGGTACAGATGGGAATGGCCCATTACAACAGACTTCATGGACCAGCTAACCAGGATCTGCAGGCGGTTTAGATTCATCCCTGAATGGTTCAACATC